AGAACCAAATGTAGATACCATGACATTATAGATAATATATTCACTGAACAAATAAATGATGCCATTGCACATTGTGTCAGTAAAGACTTCAAAATGAAGACAGGGATTGCACAACAATTTAAAGAAAGATTCGAAGATGTAGACGTATTAAAAGCACAGAATAAAAAACTTAAAGAAATAGCATTTTTAAAGAAAAATAAACAATGGATTTTATATTTAATAACAAAATGCGCATATAATGATAAACCCACCTATGAAGACATTTTTAACACACTACAAAATTTAAAACAGTTTTGCATAAATCAGTCAATACATAATTTGGGATTACCCAAGATTTGTTCGGGGTTAGATAAAAAAGAATGGGACTTAATTTCAAAAATGATTAAATTCACGTTTCAAAATACAGATATTACAATAAGAATTTATGAATTAGAGCCCGAACACAAAATAGAATGCAAGTCAATAGGAACAACTCCGGAAAAAAGTGATTCATCAACAATAAATATAAAATACGACGGAGTGGATATTACACAAAACGGATTTGATGAGTTAACACATTATGTAGAACAAGAATTTGAAAACATGAATGAACATTTTGCTGACACAATATTACCTCAGACAATATTACAAAACACACTCGTAAAAAATAACGAAAACAATAAAACAATATGTAATATAACAAATTTAATAGATGGTAAAAAATTTGAATTTGATATTAACCCTGAGTTGGAAACAAATCAACAAGTAAAACTAAAAAATATATTGATAAGATTCGCGGATTGTTTCGCGCAACATGACATGGACCTTGGACCATGGACCTTGGAGATATACCAATACCCACATTAACTGATGACCCAGTAAATTTACCACCATATAGATTGGCATTATGCGAACAAAATGAGTTACAAAGACAAGTCAACGAACTTTTAAAAGCAGGTTTAATTATACCATCTAATTCAGCATATGCTAGCCCAGCGTTTTTAGTTAATAAGGCGGATAAGACAAAAAGATTAGTAATCGACTATAGACAAATAAACAAACAAGTACCTCATCAGAATTTCCCAATCATGAATATACAAACAATATTCGATTGTCTAGAAGGGTCGAAATTTTTTAACATAATGGATATGCAGCAGGGATTTCTGAACATTCTACTGGGTAAAACAGACCGATATAAATTAGCATTTATTATCCCATTTGGATTATATGAATGGACAAGATTTCCATTTGGATATAAAAACTCTCCAAGACAGTTTTCTAAAGCTGTGGCTACTGCTCTCTCTGGACTACTTTATTTACTACCATTAATTATGTAGACGATATCGTAAATTATGCAAAAACATTTGAAGAGCTACTTATAATTTTGGAAAAACTATTAGAACGAATTAGAAAAACAGGGTTTAAATTGAAACCAAAAAAATGTAAATTTGGATATTTTGAGTTGAAAATACCAGGGCAAATCGTTAATCAATATGGAGTCAAGCCAAATGAGGAGGGATTGGCAGCGATAAATAAATTTCCTATTCCAGAAAATATAAAACAAACAAGAAGTTTTTTAGGTTTATGTAATTTTTTTAGAAAGTTCATACCAAGATACGCTGAAATTGTAGCGCCTATAACTGATTTAACTAGAGGCCACTTCGAATCAAAAAAATCTCCGGTAAAATGGCTAAATAAACACACAGAAACGTTTAAAATACTTAAAGAAAAGTTAACAAACCCACCGTTGTTAAAACATTTCAGCCCAAACCTACCCATAGTCGTATGGACCGATGCGGGTAAAATATTAATTGCAAGTGTTTTATTACAAAAGGACGAAGGTGACGAATTATTACATCCCGTATCATATATTTCTCAACGTGTCACTGCCACTGAGGAGAAATATAGTGCAATTGAACTAGAATTCTTAGCAATAGTATATGCGCTCGAAACCTTTAGACCATATGTATACGGCACACACATAGAGATATGGACAGACCATGCTCCGTTAAAATATTTAGACAATATTAAATCACTATCAACAAGAATTCAGAGACTAAAAAGTAAAATTATAGACTACGACATAACAATTAAATATAGAAAAGGACTCTTAAATCAAGTATGCGATGGTATGTCCCGAAATCCAGTGTTTGAACCACCCACTATTGGGGAAACAAATTAACAAAACGCGCTCTGGTGGAATCGTGGAAACAATTTGTACCTTCCAATTCGGGATGTATATACTCTGTTCAAAATAAGATCGTGACCCGGCGGCCGAGTTGTGCGCATGGGCGTGGCTTTTTTCCGTGGCTGCGCTCGACGCGTCGCTGTAGTGGGGACGGCATCTGGCCATATGTCTGACCGCCGCCCGACGAAAACTGGTCGCCGCCGGGTCACGATCTTATTTTGAACAGAGTATAGATATAGTTTTATGTTGGTTATTTTACTTTTTATAATAAATTAATATTGCTATGGAAACTTTATACGCTTTTATAGCTAACTGTATATGTTGGTAAATATAATTTCTACTAATATTATCAAATACGTTCAAATTCACTTCACTTAATTTCACTTAAAGCAAAATGTATTCGAATTTCGAAATGCCGCGAAAACCCGACTCGAGTCCCGACTGCATGTAGGGGGGGGAACCCGGCCAACCATCAGTACGATAGGCGTCGACAGCGCTCCCAGTGTTAATTTGTTTTCCCAATAGAACAAGAAATACAAAAAGATAATGAACTGACAATTTGCACACTAAAAACTTCGGCGTTTTTAAAAATATTAACTATTAAAAAAGTTGTGGTTATTTAAAAATATTAAAAAAAAAGAGTTTTTGTGCCTTCAATATCTAGCTGTGTATTTAGATTAATACAAAACCCCGATGAGGTTCCCTCCGAAATATTGTTCTCTATAAAATTTATTATAGGTATTTTTACTCTAAAACCACTTTTTAATGGCTTTTCGTTTGTTTTTCGACAGCATATTTACGTCGTTAGATTTGATTTTCCATCGCTATCATGTGCTGCCACCTACTATCCGTTGTGACTTGTGACGGCGCGACCGCGGCGGCCGCGAATTCCCCCACTACGCGACTGTCTCGTATGGTTGTGGGTCGGTTATCGGTTGCCGACGAAGAATAGATTATGCGCAAATTATGAACCTTTAGATATACTAATAGTAATACCCGAGCCCCGAGGTAATACCTATGGATTTTTGACATTATAAAAATGACAACAATGAATAAATAAAATTATTATAATCAGGCTATCGGCAATCATAGACGGCAATTGTACTTATTATTAGTTATAACGAATTAGGACAGCGGAAGTAATAATATCAGACTACTTTCGCTAAGACGATCAAAAAAACCGAGGTAAGTGCCCTAAATTACATAATATTATTTATTTTAAAAATTAAAACCATATTACCAGTTTAAATTTAAATTTAAAAACTTAGTCTCCTTCTCTAAAACGAAAAACATAGCTCTGCTGTACAGTGTCGAATCTCGATCGTATCTCGTCATTGATTTTTTTCTGAAATGCCGATAAAAAAGATTATGGTGCCCGTCGTGCCCGAAAAATAAAGTAATTTATATAGGAAACCTATTTACGTTGATGTACATATTATTAGGATACACATTGTATTACATTTTCAAGCTTTTTGACCCAACAAATAAAATTTTACTGACATTTATAGACATAAAAACTAAACAAATTAGAATCTGAATGTATATATAACCGTAAACGGCACAAAACAAGTCAAAATATTTTGAAAATTATATCGTGTATAGAAAATTATAGTATAAACATTCAATGAAAATTTTATGTATCTACAGTAGTTCGTTTTAGAGTTACACCAAAAACCAAAATCAAATTTGTCGAAAACTTTTTTCCGTAAAAATGTTCGTTTTTCCTTTTAGATTCTGAGTGAAGCGATGAATGTATTGGTTTTACAATGATGTGTGTGTTGTTTTAGATTCTGAGTGAAACGATGAATGTATTAATTTTACAATGATGTGTGTTTTTTTTTTAAATTTTTTTTAAATTTTTTTTTAAATTTTTTTTGTGTCTGTGTACATGATAAATAGTTGAAATAATGCTTCGATTTTCAACTTCTGCATATCTTGTTCGATGGGAAATTAAATCTAGTTGCTTATAAAAATAAATTTTGCATATATATTTTGACAATTTTTGAATCAATCATAAATTAATATATATTTAAAACTTTCTATTAAATTTTCAAGTATTTTGACTCAGCCAAAAAAATTTTATAGACACTTATAAAAAAAAAATCGAATATTTCAATTGCCTTCTCAATATTTTGATAAAAAAAATTACGCGAAGAAAATTTCACTTTGAACAACTGGTGGAAGTTTCAAGTTTCTAAGTTTTACCAATAAATTCCACATCTCTAACTATATGATACCTTTGTATTTCTTACTATTGCCAATTTCGTATTTTAATGTACTTATACGAATTTTTTTTTTTTGATAGCTGTTCTTTAGTAACTTCTACGCCTATAAATACTACTTTGTTGACAAGAAGTCTTGCTACAATAAATAATATTTCGTTTGGTGACGAATCAAATATTGATAACCATGGTTTAGGTATATCAAATGAACTACCCAGTACATCATCTTTCAAGTATGATTATATTTAATATTTAAACAATTTTGTTGTTGTAATATTATTGTATAGTTATCTGATGTACAATTGTACTAAATTTTTATATTTTTTGCTGTGTATAGTGATCTTGACTCCAACATTATAATATCAAATGAACTACCCAGTACATCATCTTTCAAGTATGATTATATTTAATATTTAAACAATTTTGTTGTTGTAATATTATTGTATAGTTATCTGATGTACAATTGTACTAAATTTTTATATTTTTTTGCTGTGTATAGTGATCTTGACTCAAACATTTCGAATGGCCGTAGAATAGTTGATATAGGTCATATTTTCAATGAAATTCAAAATAGTCGTCATAGTGGTGGATTTGAATGTTCATTTTTAGATATGATTTTTAAAGAAGAAGAAAAACAGGGATACTTTTCAATATTCCATTTTAAATGTAAAATGTGCGGAATTGAAAAAAAAATATCCTGTGAAAATACTAAAAATGTTGAATGCATTCCAATAAATAAAGCAGTAGTAAATGCTACAATAGCTATAGGTAAAATATCAAATATTTAAAACACCTATAATAGTCCTATTTAAATAAAATAACATTATATTCATATAGGTATTGGATATGCACAACTTTCTGAACTTTCGGCTAGTATCGATATACCTCCAATGTCATCCAATACATACCAATCAATGTTATCATCTGTTGGTGATGTAGTGCATGCTTCAGCGTGGGATGAAATGAAAAATGCGGGAGACGAAGAGAGAGAAATTGCATTAAAAAATGGTATATTAGATGAGGACGGGACACCGATGTGCACCGTTATTGCAGATGGCCAATGGTCTAAAAGGTCTTATAAAACTAAATACGACGCATTCTCTGGAGCGGCAACTATTATTGGTTATAATACACGCAAAGTTTTGTTCGTTGGTATTCGAAATCGTTACTGTTCAATTTGTCAAAAAGCATTGAATAGAGATGAAAATAAACCAGCACATAATTGTTTTTTTAAATTGGACAAGTAGTTCAACAGGTATGGAAGCTGACGGTATACTGGAAGGGTTTTTGAACAGTGTTCAAATGCATGGACTCAAGTATAATAAACTCATAGGTAGGTATATAAAAAAAACATATTGTCCTATATACATAATTGAGTAAGTAAAATTTATATTATTACACAATTAAATAGGTGATGGTGACAGCAGCGTCCTCAAACGTTTGAATGAGGTACTGCCATATGGTCCTCATTTTACGGTTCAAAAAATTGAGTGTAGGAACCACCTGTTACGAAATTCTGGACAAAAACTGCTAGCGTTAACCAAAAGAACAGAATATCCCGTTCATTTAAGAAAATTTATTCGAAACAATATTCTTCGATTTAGAAGTGACATCACTAAAGCTGTAGAGTACCGTAAAGCGAGTGATTTATCTATGTCAAACAAAATTGCAGGTTAATTAATAATTTATTATATAATTACAATAATTTATTGTACTTATTCTTAAATTCACCAGATAGTAAATTTTTTTTTTTTACTTTATTGCCCATATAGAGCTACGAAAAGATATTGATAATAGCCCATATCACCGATTTGGTCAACATGACAATTGTAACAGTTATTTTTGTTCTGGACCAAAATCCAGTGAAATAAATTTAGTTGGTGATTTAGAAAAGTGTGGATTGATGAGAGATATAAAAAATATTATTATTCGTCTTTCTAATAATGCATGTAGCTTAATTCAAGACGTTGACAATAATGTTTGTGAGCAGTTTAATAGTTTAATCAATAAGTTTATAGGTGGTAAACGTATTAATTTTACACAAAGGAACACATATACTACTAGAATTGAAGCAGCAATAGTTTCTTTCAATTCAAAAGAATATTTACGACGTATCCACAAAAAAATGGTTTTTAAAAGTCCAGGTAATATTTTAAAATTATAGGTACCTACTACCTACCTATAAAGTATAAGTACTTGATTAAATGTACATAATTTATTTTACGTTTTTATTACAGGAGAAATAGGAAAAAAGTATCTAAACAATTTAAATAGAATTCGACAAAATACAATAAATAGGAGATGTTTATTTGTAAATAACATGAAAAAAAGTAAAAAGAAAAGCTCATCGGCTCATGCAGATAAAGATTACGGCTTAGCTGAGCCCTTGATGGACACTATATCAGTGGAGGAACTAGAAACTAAAAAAAATTGTTTTTTAAATAAATTAAAGACTGTTAACTTACATCAGCTAAATTTGGATACACGAGATCAAAATGGAAATTTAAAATGGTTTCAAGAGCGGAAAAAACGTCTGACGGCTTCCAAATTCGGTGAAATTTGTAAAATGAGGTCAACTACTAGCTGGAGACGACAAGTGCATGCAATTATATACAATCCACAAATAAAGTCGAAAGAAATGGCGCATGGTATTGAAATGGAACCGTATGGTCGAAAAAAGTTTGAGGTTGTAAGTGGATTAAGTGTTGAGACTTGTGGTCTAATTGTAGACAGCGAAATTACATTTTTGGCTGCTAGTCCAGGTAAAATTATTTTTGTGTATAATACATTGGTTAATATATTTTTATTATTTTAAATTATTATACCTACAGCATTATTTTGTTATAATTATTATGTTTACTATTATATTATTATATTTTAAATGTTCAGATGGTGTTGTCGGCGATGACGCTATTCTTGAAATAAAGTGTCCATATATTGCAAAGGATACAAACGATGTACCTAACGGAAGCAGTAAATAATAAATTGGTAAATACATTTTTTACTTATTTTTTTTTTAAATTATAGGAAATATAATATATATATTACCAACATAAATGGACGAATTTCTTATTTTGATGTTAATTTTGATTGTTTTCAAAAGTAAATTTAAAGTAAAGTTAAAATTTAGACCAAATTTATCAAAATATCGAATGTTTGCAAATTGCTTTGTAGTTGAAAATGTACAAAATATCCTAGACCTTCGATTTCAGAATTGTTTTTCGTGTACAATGGTCAATGATATGTCATTGAATTCAAGTTTAACACCAATACACCATCCATTATAGCAGGGACCCACTATATATAGTAACCTACTGTACAACAGAGCGACATTCACTTACCCCCTTTTTTTAAATTACAGTTACAATATTGTACACTGTTACCTACAAATAATGGTCAACAGATGGTGCAATTAAAAAGAGATCATAATTATTACTACCAGGTGATGGGGCAGTTACACATTACAGGAAGGCATCTTTGTTATTTTGTTATATATGCAACTAAATGGATACATATAGAAAAAATTTTTTACGATGCCGAGTTTTGGGAAACAAAAATGGTTGGAAAACTTACTGCGTAAGTAAAATGTATTACAGTTTACTTTTTTTAAATTATAAAAAAGTTCTTATTATTATGCATACTAATATAATATTTTGTTGTGCCGATAAAAAAAAAATGGTATTGAATTGTTTTCAGATTCTATATGGATTGTTTATTGCCGGAAATAGTAGAGCCTTTATATGGTAAACGCCTATTAGTGTCTGATATTCGAGAACCAGCAAGAATTATAGAGGCTCGAGAACTAAATAATAAAAAAAAATCAGCAAAAAGACTAAATAAATAAATAAAATATGAATGTCATTGTAATTTGTAATGATATTTTTAATTTTGTCTGCCAATTGCCAATGTTATATAATGTTTCCGTACTTAATGAAAATAAATAAAAAAAATAATTTGAAAGATAGCTAATAACATTTCATATATATTTTAAGTGAGTAATAAAGTACCTATATTATATATTATAAAATAGGTAGAGAGGTAGGAGCTTATAAATAATAGATGATGTGTGAAAAATGTATAATGTTTAGAAATACGCAAAAATTAATTGACCTACTAAAAACTAATATTTAGATATTTAGGTAGGTAATATTAGTTAAGGTTACAGTTATAAATTAGATAATATTTACTGTATTGAATATATTTTTTATGAAGTAAGTATCTAAAAATGCAATAAATACAGGACGTGTAAGTACGCGCGAATATTAAAAATATTACGGTGACAATGCGGCATAATGTACGTGTAACGTGTATGCATTTTATATTTACGCGACCCGCCACAAACGAAAGTTGAGAAAATAATAAACGTCGCTCCCGAATGAGCAAAATCGTCGGCCGGCCGTCGACGACGAGTAGTGGGCGAGGCTTAAACGTCGCGTGCTTGCGCATTGCGAAAACACCCATGACAAAATAAACAGGTATGACAGCAACTTTGTGATACGCATAAAATGGCTGCCACTTTGCTCCTTATCAGTACGTTTGTTATCATTCACAATTTAAACTCAAATTTAATTTAATTTAAATTATTCTTATTGACAAAAAATAACTAATAAGTATATTATTTCATTAAACAATAAAAAACCATGACAAAATAAACATGTAAAAAACATTTTTAGACTAAAGAAACATGGGTGTGAACACATAAAATATACTTTATTCAATTTTTAGTTGGTAAATTTTTGTATTTTTCGTTTATCTTTTTTTTTAAACTGTTGGTCCATAATTTTCCTGTTCAGATTATTTAATCTTATATAAGTTCGAGTTCGAATTATACATTGAATAACCTCTTCAGGTATTCCTAAATGTTCAATATGTGGTTTTACAGTGTTCATTAGTTTTTTAAAAATGTTTGGCTCATTGGATAAATTGTCCTGGTGAATTTGTTTAAAATATTTTTCAAATATTTTTACAGCTTTAAATAAATCGTCCGACGGAATCTTCAAGCTGCCTTTAGACATATATTTGGTCCAATTGTTTAAATCGCCATCATGTGTGCCTATTAACTGTGGAAACTTTTCAGAAAACCTATTTGCTATATAACCAGTTACATATTGTGCACAATTCTCCTCAATGCTGTCAAATGGTTCTTCAATGGCTAGCTAAAATACATAGGTAAGTAGTAATTATTAAAACCTTCTTTGTTCCATTATTATTTATATTAATATATTTATAATTAGGTACTTCAAACTGTTCTAAAATATCCAAATATGTTTCTGGAACTACTATTTGCCGAACTCCAACAGAAGATTCCAGATTGGCTACATCATCAATGACAACTGTTTGGTCATTTTCATCAAGATTAGAATCGGTTATGATTGTTCGTGTTAAGCAGTCGTTTTCTTCTAATAAGTTTGTTTCAATGCTCTGTTCAGTGTTTGTATTGTTTGTGAACACAACATTCGAATGCTTCCCCAGAATAAACCATCTTAAGCTGAAGCAATTAAAAATTAAATAATTAATGTTAATTCTAAACATTTTCAATAATATAAAATTATATAAATACCAATGTTTAAAGTCTAGGGCAGTTATATTTGAACTTGCACTTCCTGCCATACCTTTTAAAAAGCTATATAAATTTTCCACTGTATCACTATTCACTTTTCGGGTTAAAATATAAGAAATTCCGTGTAATTCTTTTAAGTCCACCAACAAATTCTTTAAAGATATATTACATATCAAAATTCCTTAAAAAATTGTGATTTATATTATATTCAGATGAATACGTTATATCATAAAACAAATATTGTAGTATCAAACCTTTTTGAAATGGGAGCAAATGTTGTTTCTTGTGAACTCTCATATTCAGTATAAAATTACTCATTTTATCAATCAGTTCATTTTGATCTGTTAAATTTAGTCCATAACTTTCTGTACCATTATCAAATTTTTGCTGTGTATTAAATAGATCAAACCATTGATCGATCAATGAAATCATTTCTGCAGCCTATCATCAAACAAAATTATGTATCAAAATATATTAAATAAAAAATTCTAAAAAAGCTTAAGTTTAATTATTAATTAAAATTAACTATAACCCTTACATCTCTCCAATTATATTTATCATCTATATATTGCTGTTCTCCACAGAAGGCAATTGCCTTTGCAACACTATTTGATAGTAGCTGTACAGCTAATCGTACATTCATTCTCCCGGGTCCTTCAACTAACAAATGTCTATTAGAGACTTTGTATGCAAATTTAAAATCATGTTTTGAATTTAAATTGATAAGTTCCTGAAATATATTTATTCCAACAAATTTTCCATTTGGTAATACAAACCCTCTAAAAAAAATATATATATAAATAATAACAGCCTAGTTACATGGTTTTATCATTTTCAAAAATACATACTGGTCAAGTAAATGATTTCTTAAAAGTTTCATTAAATGAGGAACATCTGCAAAAACATGGATTTTTCTCTGGGTACACGGATGTTCAAATGATGAATTAGTTATTGATATATTTAAATTTCTCCACAATCCCATATTGGATGGACCCATATCATTGACTATCGCTATAGTATCGTAACCAATGTTGTGTAGCTCTTTAATTATATCGAATAACAATTCTTTTGTCATATTCGTATCATAATTGTAATATATGGGTTGCTTCCAATCTTTCACTAAACCTATAGTTATGAACGATAATCAACAAAACTGATTATATTAGAAATTTTAATTTCATAATTTACCTCGAGCAATCACAGTTTGCACACGTTTATATGGGCCCAATACTTGCTCATTTTGTTTATCAAAACAGATTCTTTTTGATATGTACGTTTCATCAAAACTTAAAACCGTTAACTTATCTGTTTTACTAAATGACTCGCCTTGAAAATACAAATTATAGAGTTAAAAAATTATTTTCTTAACTTTTCTATTATTTACCCTTAGCTTGCATGAGTGACATTACGCTTGTAAGTAAACCTGGATTCAAAGAAAATTTTGAAGCCCATGCTCGAAGTGTAGACATACCTTAAAATAAGCATTTAGAGCATTTAGACATTTTTATAATATATAATGTTATTATATTATGTTTTAAAAATAATTTATGAAGTTATTTAGAACTATGTATGATAATATTGTTAATGTAAATAATTAAAAAGTAACTATCAGCAATAAAATATCTAATTAATAATAACCTGGTAGAGGAAAATTTTTCTTTGTTCTCAAGAACCTATATGCCTTAGGTGAAACACTCCTCAAAGTAATTGCTGACGAGATATCTTCAGGAGTCCACTTATAAGTTTTTTTTTTTTGGATTAAGTAATAGTTGAATTTGTGTGTGTGTGAACACTTGAATCAGTTTATTTGAAAATTCATTTTCAAACCTTTCATTTTCCAATTTCACAAATTGGTCATACCATTTAATTTTCTTGCGTAAATGAAAAATAAGTGTTTTATACTTATCATTAATTTCAGAAAGTTTTTCATTTTGATTTTTAATAACTTCATAATCACTTTTTAGCCTAAAAATAATGTATACATTCTTGTTATACATAATACAAAATAACTATCTAATACCAGTGTATATCTCACTAGATAACTAACTCCAGTGGTGCCGAACCTTTTTTAAACCACTGGGGTAAACCTTGTTTAAGGGCACCCACCTACATACCTTTTATACATAAAAGCAGTCACTCATGACCCACCCACCCCCCCATCAACTAAAAATGTTCTGGGGTATTTACCCCACTTGCCATATGTGTTCGGCGCCACTGACTAACTCAGTACATACAAAATACTAAATAGATAGGTTAAAGATTTGAAGCTACACATAGAAAAATACTGTATATTTTAACTACTTTCCACAACATTTATTTAGTAAGCTCAATGTCAATATAATTTAATAGCTTCTATGTAAAACATTTAAAATTTAAAAAAAAATACAAATTTAAATACAAATATATATATTTTAGTAATTTATCTAGGATAATAATATAATATATATACAATGATTATATAAACACAATATACATGCAAAACATTTGTAACAAATATATTCTATAACTAATAACATATATTTAAAATACATTTACATGAAAATATTATAATTTATATCACAAAAGGTTGAGAAAAATTGTTTTGAGTCGTTGTACTTATACTGCAACATTGAAAATTAATTCATGATCTTATTGGTATTTATTTATGCATAAACCAATACAAATCATGAATCACAGGTTTCAATGAAGGAAAATCCACATTAATGGTTGTATTCATCTTCAATTTTTGTCCGTGTGAAACATATATGAAAGCATAAACACGATTACAGCATGCATTATATTATATGAAATAATATATGTTATCCCAAAAGGTTAAGAGTATGTCAGCACACTATTTGTATTCTCTCTCTGGCCCACGCGCGACATAGACAAACCGCATCTATGCAGAATTGATATGTCATTCCATCAAAAATACTATTCTCTATCTTTTTTGTAATGGGTATTTTACTCTAAGATTACTTAAAAACATAGAAAAAATGATTCTGCGTAAATGCATTTTGTGTATGTTGCGCGAGAGCCAGAAAGAGAAAACAAATAGTGAACTGACATCATCTTAAGAAGAATACTTTTAAAATAATTTCTTCATTACATACTTTTGAAATTCTTCGTTACTGTTTTCCAATATTTCAACCTCACACAAAGGCTTAACTTCAAGCTCATTACATAATTCACTAAAATTAAATTCCAAGTTAGAACAACACTGAGTTTTTTGAGAAAAATCACTGAAACAGAATTAAATAAATAATAATTAAAGTAGGTATGCAATAATATTCAAAATATTCACTTTAATTGGTTATTAATAAAAATAAACCTTACTTTGATTTAGTAACTGAAAAAGGACCAGAAGGTGTTCTTATAATAGTACATGATGGTGAATTAGATGAAGACATTCGATTGTAAGGAATATCATCATAATAATATCCAAACGTGCTACAAAATAAAATTAGGGTTCATAAAATCTCTGTAAATCTTAAGCAGAATAAATTAGGATAATTGATTAAGTACCTCAATGGGATTGCATTTGGTAATAATCTTCTGCCAGTTATTGGTGAAAAATTAGCAGTACTTTGAACAAATGTCTTACCAGCAAAACTGTCTGTAGAAAAATGATTACTGCATACTACACCTGAATTTATGATATCAAAATATCAAATATTTTATAGGAGGCAGACACAAATTTCAAAAAAAAAATATTCTTAATACCCGTTTCAAAATTAACTTTAGTGACATTAGATCCAAGTTTAATTTGATCTATCCATTTTCTACGCATCTCGGGGTCTTTAGGGAACTTATGAAGATGAACATTTGAAGATTTTCTGTAATCTTTTTTTCTACTTCCACTGAAACACCCTTCAAACGAACACATCGGCATTTTATAATTAAGTGCGAAATTACAGATAAAATTACTGCAGCTTTATAGTCTAAACTAAATATTGAATAAGAAAATAAGAAATAAGAATTCAAATTCAATTCCTCGATTCAAAATAAATCACTTATCACAAAACAAATTATGCATATTTGATAAGTCATGTGATAAATTCTCGACCAATGAGAAGTGGAGCATAACGTACGCCATATTTGCGCAGAAAATCATCAGAATGAAATATTGCTGTCATACCTGTTTATTTTGTCATGAAAACACCTAACAGCGCGTTCTCTCGGTCGTTGTATACGTTTCACTTTCGGTGTGGCGTCCTCTTAATATACTTAATATACACCTGGAACAATTACGTGATGATACATATGCAAATATTATTAAAGCAATACAGAACCCAGAACTTTCAACCCATATATGGATAAGAAAATCAAAAAATTATTTTATAAATGAAAACCAAATACTCATGTATAAACATTTAGCTAAGGGGCAATCTATAAATTTAATAGCATTACCAGACAACCGTAAAAATGAAATTTTAAACGATTTCCATGATCACCCCTTATCAGGACACTTAGGCATAGACAAGACAATACAATACAATACAATACAATTATTCAACGATATTTTTGGCCCATTATATATAAAGACGTACGCAAATATGTAACATCATGCATTAGTTGTCAAAAAAGGAAATCGGATAAAAAAGCGACCTATGGTCAAATGCTAACATCACCAAAAATTATTGGTATACCATTTCAACGATTCACAATAGATTATATTGGGCCAATTAATCCACCAAGCAATGGCAACTCATACATTTTGGTAGGAACTTGCGCAACTACAAAATACGCTATAGCAAAATCATACAAAAACGCTGACGCAAGGTCGACAGTCGCATATTTAATAGATATAATTTTACAATTCGGATCAATAGGCGAAATACACTCTGACCGAGGCTTACATTTTGCAAATAAATTGGTGAAAGACTTACTAAAAGCGCTAAATATAAATAACACATATTCAATTGCATTCCGTCTCCAGAGCCAAGGCCAGACAGAAAAGTTCAACGGGACTTTGATAGATATGATTAGCCACTTTGTACAGGAACAACCAAAAAAATGGAGTCTATACTTAAAATATGTACTATTTGCGTATAACACAGCAATTAATGATACAACGAAAAACACACCGTTTTACCTATTACACGGATATAATCCAAAATCCATATTCGATCACAACTTTATAAGTACAGAAACATCCCCCGAAATTTTACTGGAATTAGAAAAATTAAAAAATATTCGAGACGAACTCCCAAAATTATTAGCGGACAGATATTTAAAAAATAAAAAACATGACTCAAATAAGGTACAGGAAAAATTTAAATTAAACGAAAAAGTACTGATTAAAGACGAAAATAGAAAATCTAAATTTGCTTACAGGTACAACGGCCCGTTTAAAATAATGAAACAAGTATCGGATGTAACTTATGTAGTAGAAATAATTAAAAATGGACAGTTAGTAAACGAATACAAACATGTTAGTCAGTTAAAAAAATATAAAGAACGTTAAATACTGCATTAGAATAATTGTAATTATAGTATAAAATTTATATAATAAATACAACGTATAATAAATGTGGGAAAAGAAATAAAATTATTATCGAATATGCTTGCCTAATGAAAACATACAAAATGTTTTTATTACAACACATACAAATGTGAATTTGAATTTTACTTGGTAAATATATATTAAGAATACCATGTATATAAATTTTTTAAATGAGACACGTAAAATTAATAAGGTAAACACAAGCAAATGTTGAATTGCAATATTCGAAATAGTCTACGAAGTACTAATAAAATAGTAGCTCAGTAAATCAAAAATCAGCAAAATAAAATAGATACTAAAAGGAAATACAATAAGAATATCATACCTCAATTAAGTTATGTACAGCAAGCACAATTACAACAGTTTTAATTAATTTTTTTCTAGTACATTATCAAATTTTGTTACCCGTATAGCATTCTAACGATTTTCAGTGCGTAAAAAATCTTACGATATCACTTTACCTTCATGCATAGTAATTAATTAATAAAATTAAGAATAAGGTGTCGAGATAGAATAGTGCAATAAGAGTAATATTATTAAATAATCATTTATGTACTTTTATTTTTTAGCATAAGGATAAATTATTTTTTTTATTTTACCATAACAACCACAAAAAAAAATGTAAGCAAAAAAAAGAGTGAGAAAGTTTACAAATTTAGGCGACTATAACCGAACCATAAACCTCGAATAGTCGAATCCAAGACATATTATAGTGGTTCAATCAAGACCGTTCACGACGCCGAGGTTATAGCTGTACAGCGTGCACCAATCCAAGGACAGACCACGATAACAGACCTCCCTGTTACAGTACTGGTTGAGGCCTTGAGGGACCGATGACATCCAAACGACGGAACGGGTGAAGAATAATTTCGGAACACTAATATCGTACATGAGTATGATGTGGATTTATATTGTAAATTTACTATAAGGCATAGGTATATTATGTAAAAAAAAAGAGAGTGTGAAAACATGCGTTAGGCGTGTATATACAAATGTAGAGAAAGGGTTCACATAAAAAATAAAAATGGTAGTAAAAAACTGGTTGAAATTTTACAATGACACTACCACGTCATTGACACTTGCAAAATTTTACGTAGATTTGATTTTCATTATATTATACATATACGATCGTCAAAAACTGATGAATCAAGAAAAAATTGATATAGTGCCCTCGCCACTCAAAAATACAATTAATATATTATTATCATGAGTGTTATCACATTGATAAGCCCGAGCAAAGCAGAACTAATTTTAATAACTAAACATAAAGATATAATATATCATATGCATATTATATGTATAATTAATGCAGACATGCAGTGATTGTATACATATATAATGTAAATATCATTTATCACGTATTCACACCAAAACAGTGGTACATCTTTAAAATCAGGTACAATTTCAATCTATTTAAATAAAACTAACCTTAATGATATATTTTCTTAAATTAAAAAAAAAAGGGATGTTGTTTAAATGAAACATGATTTATATTGTTATTTTTTTTTTATATAGTAGGTACATTTAAAATGTTCAAAAAAAAAGGGAGGGGGGTAATGTAACGTATGTTACATCATTACGTTTATTTTATAAGCATCATAATATGCACATTATAGTCGCGGCAACGAAAAATGAGCGCTGACCGTCATGCGCCAAGCGGCAGTTTATTAGTAGTGGTTATCAATCTTTTAAACGAAAAGCCTACAGCACGTAGCAGCAGTGCAGCACGACAGCTGCACTATGTTGAGAATCATTGGCCTTAAGAGTGGGTAAAAGCAACGGGTCGCGGTACCAAGTATATAGTATAATTAAAAACATTTTAATAGTTAAATTATAAGGCTTTATTATATTTTATTGCACAAGTACAATGTACATATATATAGTAGTATACCACCTAATCATATACCATAGGTAGTAGGTACTTATTCTAAATAGGTAATAATATTCGCTCATTCGAAACTATTAAGTGCATAAGTACAATTATTAAACCCATTTACAGCTTAAATCCATGGGATGTTTTTCACATACTATGAATCTTGTCGTTCAATCTTCCCTTACACTGGAAAATAGTTTGTTAGATCGAGTAAAGGCAATTGTTACACATTTTAGAAAAAGTACTGTGGCAAATAATAAACTACATACTTATCAAATTAATAATGGCATCAGTCAACCAAAAAAATTGATTCAAGATGTTCAGACTCGTTGGAACTCAACGTTTTATATGATAAGTAGGTTTGTTGAATTGGAGGATTCTATTCGCGGTACATTAGGTTTACTGGATAAAGCGCCGGAAAACCTTAAGGGTGAAGAATGGGTAATTCTAAAAGAAATGTGCCAAGTACTTTGAAGAAGCTACCAGAGTAGTAAGCGGAGAAAAATTTATGACAGCTTCACTGGTCATTGTTTTGTCTCAGGGTCTAGTTGATGTATGCCATAAAATGTCTAAAATGAATTATAACCCTAGAGTTCTTGATATTGTAAACAAGCTATTGTGTACTATGCTTGAAAAAGACACCTGGAAAAATTTAGAAAAAAGTAGAACATTACGCCGAAGCACATTTTTAGACCCTCGTTTCAAAAATATACCTTTTTTGCATAGTACATCTATTCTTGAGACCACAAAAGATGATATCATTGAAAAATTGACGGGGATTATTCGAATTGAAAACAACCAAACAGCAGAACGTAATGAACAAATTCCACTACCTGAGAATGGTTCTGAAGAGGTACGGGACTTGCAAACTTTTTGACATCAAAGTATATCAATTTGGGATACAATTGATCGTAATGCAGCAGAGGTACTACCTAATGGAACATCAACATCTCGTGCAATCATTGAAGTCCAACGTTATTTAGAAGTTGCTATACAGCAAAGAAATAACGATCCGTTAAATTGGTGGCGTGAAAATAGTTATAACTATCCGTATCTACACATATTAGCAAAAAGAACAGTATGCTGTTTAGGTACATCAGTACCGTGTCAAAGAGTGTTTTCAAAGGCTGGATTAATTTTAAATGACCGTCGTTGTCGTCTGAAAAATGATAAAGTTAAAATGCTTTTATTCCTCAACTATAATTCAAATTAACTATTACAGTATTAATTTAAATTCCAATTTTATTATTATGATTTTATTTCTTGATAATATTAAGATTGCTCCATTTATATATTTTATTTTTATGGAATTTATTATATTACAGAAGGTATTAAAACATATTTTTTTTAAAAATAACATACAATTTTTTCGCTTAAAAGGATTACAAGGGTTATTATAGTTATAAGCAAACATTACGATTTTCTGTTTTTTTTTTCATTAGTTTTATAAGGGTTTTATATACTATAACAAATAGTTTATTATTTATTATTACATTTTTTGTTATTGATATAA